CTATCTGTTATTGTAACGAAATTTTAAAATGTATGTATATTTGCTGCTGTGAGTTGTTTCGGCCTTGGATTTTTTGACTTGAGGATTTTATTCGTTGGTCAGCAGCCGTGGAACACACAGCAAAATAAACCATTCTATTCTGCTAAGTTTAATTTAAATTGTGTTAGAATTTGATCGCGTCGAATTTGTTAAAGAAAGACCAACGTTTACAGTAGATATAAAATAACCTTCAAAACTGCGCCGGCAGCAAACGAATTTCGCTATATCATAATCTTTGTTCATTTCATGTCGAAAATGAGAATGATATTCGATATCCTAATAGACGTCACAGAAAAAGAACTTGCAAAAGAAATAATTTCACCAGGCAAAATAAGAAAGTCATAAGAGCGACACGGTCAGAAAACGGAAACGAGTCCTCCCTGGAAAACCGACGGAAATCATACAATCCTATACAAAGTCAGTCTGTTGTGATAGCAGCTTTTCGACGTCGAACTTTCCTTGTATTTGTTGACGGGATTCCTTTGATACACAGAGGCTGGTGCGTATCTTCGCTGCAAGAAGATAGTGGGTTCTCGGATTGTACGCACGTTAAGAATACATACAGAAACATGTCTACCCTCTATCACAACATGATCGATCTGGTTTCATGTTTTTAAATCAGGAGATAGCCAAGTATTGGTTTTTCTTATGATGGAATATAGTACTACAGACAACCATATTTCCGACCCCGGCGAAATCAATCAGACTCAACGCATTTCGGGATGTTTCATTAGGGAGGCGGAATTTTCCGACAGTTGTTCTAAAGATACCATCTTTGTCCACCCTAGCATTAAAATCACCAAGCTCCAGGCGCTCATAAAAGACATCTTTGGTCAAATAGTCCTTCTCTTTCGCCGGGCGTGCACGTAAATGACCGATATGTTAAAAAAATATTGTTTTGATGGGGATTGTGATGCGACGTTCATCCATCGGGATGAATGCCAGTACTTGATGACGGAGTCTCTTTCCCACCATAAATTCGATACTGCTATTCGGAACGACCGGGTTAAATTATGGTACATCCAAAAGTTATTAAAATCCTGTTAAAACATTTGTGAGAGAAGAGGGTATTTCATCCGAAGATTGTTTAAATTTTTTATTAGACCTGAGGTCTTTCCAGTTCCTAACCCTGCGCACAATCACGCCAGGCGAGTAAGTTTAAAGTTTTTGTAAACATTTAAAAGCGAGCCGCTTGCTGCGAAACCGACGCCCGCTCGCAGCCGCACCTCTGGTGGACATACGCTGCACTTAGACTTCTGCGAGCCAATAAGCAGAATAAGTCGGAGTGGCTTCACTGAAGCTTCCTCTCTTTTAGCCGTAACCTAAGGCTCCACATGGGTTGGTTACTGCATCTTGCACAAGGTTTGTACGTTTTTAGCGTACGCGACGTGGACGCAAGAATATGAATTAACTATAGCCTCGTGACTTTTTAAACTAACTAACTAATCAAAACATGCGCTTACAAACTTTCATCATCCGAAGTACTCCTCAATCAAAACTTAAAGATTAAAACAAAGTATACACAAACACTTGAAAAATGCACATGGAACCAATATCTACTTACCAACCAAAACCTGAAAAAATTATTATTGCAGACTTTTTCAAAGAAGTGGTAAAAATAAAAAAAGGAGCAAACGATAGATATTTAAACAAAAAAAGAAGCGTCCTAAAAGCCAAAAAAAACTGAACTACTGGAAGTAATAGAGATAAGCAACATAAATTCTATTGAGATACACAAAAACTTATACCAAAATAAAGTAGCAAATCACCCAGCCGAAAAGACAGAACAAAACGGCATACTGTGAACCCTAAAATGGTCGACGCATTCAAAGAAGTCGAAATAAGGCCGAAAATAAAATGATAAGAAAATTTTTTTAAAATTACTGAACAAATCGGTACTGTACTGCATCAAAAACTTTCAAAGCTGGAGTATCCACATCCATCCAGACCAAATGACTTAGCCAGCGTAGCCGCTGCTTCTTGACTCTCTGAACTATATTAATGTCGCTGTATGACTCGCACAGCTCATCGTTCCATCGTCTGTGGTATTCGCTGCTGCCAACTCATAGAAGACCATAAATCTTACGCAAAACCTTTCTCTAGAAAACTCTCAACGCCGGCTCATCAGATGTTGTCATTGTCTTGTAGAGTTTTGTTTTCGCTTGTCGGGAGAGGGTCAATTGCCTAGCGCCTGTTGGTAAGAGTGATTCTGCATTAGATTTCAAGGCTGACATTATTATTGGTGTTGATACTGGTTCCTAGATAGACGAAATTATCTACGACTTCAAAGTTATGACTGTCAACAGTGCCGCTGGAGCTGAGTCGGGAATGCGATGACTGTTTGTGTTTTGACAGGAGATATTTCGTATTGCCTTTGTTCATCACCAGACCCATATCCTTCGCTCCCTTACCCAGTCTGGCGAAAGCAGAACTCACGGCGCGGTTGTGGAGGCCAATACTGTCAATATCATCGGCGTACGACAGCTCTGTACACTATTCAGCTCATTCATTATTTTCTTCAGCAATAAGTTAAAAGAGTCAGTCACACGGAAAGGAATCACCTTGTCTCGTTTGGTACCGAATGGCTCTGAGAGGTCATTCCCGATCCTGCCGGAAAAAGTGGGAGGAGCACTTTAGGATCTGAAATCTCTCTTCTGGGGCAACCAAGCTCTGGGCAACAGCCGAGTCGTTGTCTAATCCGAGGGGACTCGATTACCGAGTGGAAATTTCATTCGGTAACCGCCGGACTCGAAGAGATGCGCCGACTTAGCCGACTTTTTACAATGCATCCTTCGGGAAACAAAGGAAGAGGTTCATGGGGTCATCGGGAAGTCGAAGACTCTAAATTAATCGGTCTCGTCGGAATAAGCATGCCGTGGGAGCAGACTTCCTCACCAAGGTCTCAATTTGTCTTTTACCACCCTAATGATGCCTTTCGTGTGTAAAACGGGTAGGGTGGTCCCACTACTCAAGCCGGGGAAACCAGCCAACAAAGGAAAGCCTTATCGGCCGATAACTACTCTCCCAGTGGCGAAGCCACTTGAGGTCTTGCCGCTCCTGACTTTCACTCACGATCAGCGTTCAGCGGCACATCAGCATGATTTCCGAAAAGTGCATTGTGCCACAACAGCACTAAACGCCATAAACACTCAGTCTGGTACTGCCCTGGTAGTACTGGATCTGTAAAAAGCTGTTGACACCGTCAACCATTCAATGCTACTAACACACATTCAGGAATCCTTATTACCGCCGGGGTTGCAGATGTGGATCGGGCTTTCCGAGTTGTCGTTTCATCGTATGCCGATAATTGCACAATATTGGCGTCCTGCCAGGATAGTGACGCCCTTCGTTCGAAATTGAACTTCCATCTTCCAGACTTCACTTCTTCACTGCAGGAGAGTTCCAGAGCCACAACAAAGTACTCAAAGCGCCCGCCGGAAGCATCTGGGAAAAGACAAAGAAACCTTGCTGGCAACTTACAAAGCAAATCGGCCAGCCGGTCGTAAACTATGCTGCACCGATCTAGGCGCCGGGGACGAAAGAGACACAGAAAAAGAAGCTACAGGCTTGCCAAAACAGCATTGCAGACAACGAGCTCGAGCTGCCTCCATATACCAGCTTGGCACAATGGATACTGTAGCAGGTTAAACTCTTACCTATCCATACCTCAGCTTACCCAACGTATTCCCTGCATTCGGAGAGTCTCCGCACGCAACTAACCACTTCTTCACATGCCCCCTTAAACCGACTCATCTAATCCTCCTCCTCTCGGGTCCCGTCGGAACAGCACGTTTCCTGGACCTCCCACTAGTTGGCCTCGGCGACTTAAATTGATTAAACCTGTGCCCAAGCAGGATTAGTGAACCGATATAACAACAACAGCAACAATAATGGTGAATAGCCGACAACAATCGATACGTGTCCCTGGGTCGATGGGTAGCCATCATCAACGATATCAAGGTCGTTGGCGAGGCGACTGCACGAAAAGTCACATGATCACGGAGACGAAGCCCGTTCGACCCTTATATAAGTATATTCTGTAATTAAAATTTGTAAATTTTTCTTAATATTTTATTTGAATTAATTTTCTATAGGTTTTTAGATGTTAGTAGACATGAAATAAAGGCTCCTCATAAAAGAAACCATCAGCCGTTCGGAGGCGGCTTAGTATAAACTGTAGGTCCCTCCATTTGTTGGAAAAACATTAACACGGAAGACTAATTAAAGGAGAAGCTCTTCCGAAAATCGTTTCAGCGGTTACAAAGCGCCAATTATATATATATATAATATATATAGTTTTGACAGCGTTCAAGACGCTTCTATTGTGATAATGTATTCAAAGTGATGCAAGTCAAGGAAACCCAGCTCAGCCGGTCCATATTGGGCCATGCGCCTTATATCTTCATACTGTTGCGAAAATGCGAGGCGAATGTCAGATGAAAGAGAGAAGCCGATAACTAGTACGTTCTAGAAACGATAAAACAAGAACCTTCCATAGCGAACAATTCTATGCTTCTACGCTTTCGTCTGCGAGCAGCCGACTGCTATATAAAGGCGACACTCAGCTGCAAGTCAAGTTAGTGATAAAGTAAACTCGTTGGCGTTAACATCAGTAAAGTCGTAAAGTAAACACGTTGGAGAGTACATTTAAGTAGAGTGAATAGTGTAAGTTGATGATAGTGATTGTAAATAATTAAGTGTATGGTAATTGAATTGTGAATTACGGAGTAAATAAAGGACATTAGATTAATTCTTCATAACGAAAGATACTGCAAATTGAATTGGCGAGTTTTTATTTAACAATCCAGAGATCGTACCCGAAGGATTTAGGAAATAATCGAGGTTGATTTAGTAAAATCGTAACAATACGAATATATCGATTGTTATCAGCAAGCACAAGGGCTTGCACAAACTTAACACGATAACCGATGTAAACTTTTTATCGATAAACATATTATGGTTTATCTTATTATAATATTTTCTGTGGCGATTTCGCTTGCAGTTCGGTTGCAATTGCTTAATATAAAATAATAATAAATTGTTATTTTAGGTGCTAACTGCAATATTTGTTTTTAAGGATGGCGGCTAAAGTGGTGCGTACAATAAAGTGTCAACCATCTAAAAATATCTGATTTGTTGGGTTGCAAACAATGCAGTGAGAAGTTATGTCATATCAACGTAACACATACATATGTATTTGCAATCATAGTCAAATTTATATTATATGTTTGCAAATAGTTTTATAGTGTTTCAAATATATGTTCTTGTTAACATATTCATACTTATGCAAGGCAATTTAATGAAAGGAAAATTGCCATCCATTTGGCTTGTAAAATTTAAAGCTTTCCTATTACTAAGATGTCTTGCAGAAGAACTAATGGGAAATTGTATCTTTCGTCACATAATGGGATTTTAAACAATAACCCCATTTGCGAACTAATAAATAAGAAAAAGAATAAAAATTAAGCTACTACCATCTTAGTCGAGTGGTGAGCCATTCGGACGGCTTGGGCTCGAATTCCCCTTGGTAGGGAATGTCAACCTCTCCTAGTGTTTTTCTGACATGATATAAAGTTCCTCATAAAAGAAACATCAGCCGTTCGGAGGCGGCTTAGTATAAACTGTAGGTCCCTCCATTTGTTGGTAAAACATCAAGACGCAAAACCACAAATTGAAGGAGAAGCTCTGCCGAAAATCGCTTAAACGGTGACAAAGCGCCAATAATGAATATATATGACCATTAATTGGCTAGGTCTTATAAATCAACTAGTTATTTGTTTTCTTGCGTTATTATTTGTCAAAAGTAAAAAATGCTTACAAAATATAACAAACATTATAGTGAAGGATTTTAGAAGGTTAAATAAATTCCTTTTTATCTCATATGTCTGTATTTCATTTTTGCAAATAAGATTCCTTCAAGCATGTTAGTATTTGAACGATTTTTTTTTTTCGTTTAAAATAATTGGTTTCTTGCGATTCGAACCAATATGTTATTTCAAATAATTCGGTCCCCGAATAATTAGTTTCAACATACATGGAAAGATAACTATGTATCTTTGTTTCAAATACCAACCAAATCGAACACTAAACATAATATTTTCGAATAGATTGATCCCTGACCCCAGGTAAAAAGCAACAAAAAAAAAATTATGATCTTAGCCATAAATCTAATTATATTACAATTATCAGTTTAATGGAATGATTAACACAATACGTTTTTTCGAAAAGTTCTGTTCACGGAAGAAAATTTTTTCCTATTCCAAAAACTACCTTTGTATCAAAACGATCCGAATTTCACTTAAATCGAACGACTTAAAAATCAATTTAATTTTTTCAACTAGTACGCTCCCAGATCCTCTTCCCGGAAAATTATCTCCTATTGGATACCTACGAAATTTCTAGACATCAAAACATAAAGTGATTGTATGAAGTTATTGGGTAGTTAAGGGGAGACGCTTCCTGTATATTTAGACTTGGCAGTACAACTACGAACGCACAGGAACGAAATACACTTAATTTTAATGTTTGGGCCTACTGTGATTGAAACAGCTTAAGTGAGTTGAAGAAAGTTGTAAAATTCGAAATATTTCTTATATAGGAATTTAATTTGTATCATCTGACGAACTCTGGAAATAAAGTTAAAAATAAGAAGTCTAGTGGATCAAAATCTTTTTTTGTGATAAAAATATGATTACCTAATATAACAAAAATTTATCATAATAAAGAGATGTATTGATGTATACCTCTCATTTTTTTGTTTACATAATAAGTTATCAATTTGAATTTTATTATTTATGAAAACGGATCTTGTTATACATTTTTTTTTTTTTTGGATTTTAGACCACTGGTTTAACTGGCTTGGTAGTTGCAAGCAATCCTCATCATACCTTGGGAGCTCTTTACGGTAAAATCTTACGAGCTATTACTAAAATGCCGCAAGATGCTTCTTATAGAAAGTACACTGAGAAAGTTGTTCAAAGTAGATTGAAAGCAGTTGAAGCGGTCTGTTTTGTTTAAGTCTAAAATTTTATATTTTTTATTCCAATATCTACTTCACTTCATTTCAGAACAAGGATATTGCTGCCCTAGAAAAGGAAATCGCATGTGGTCAAGTAGAAGAACTGATAGTACAAGCAGAGAACGAACTCATTTTAGCTCGAAAAATGTTGGGCTGGAAGCCTTGGGAATCTTTGGTTAAACCAGCACCACCAAAACAATGGAATTGGCCACCCGCAAAAATTGTTGAACCTAGGATTTAATCCAAATGCTTTACTATTAAATAATAAAGCATTTAATGCTAAAAAATTTGAATTTACATCATAATCGGTTTCTTATTCAAAATCTTTCACGGCTGCTCACTGTGAAAAACAAATAATAGGTAAATAAATAAAGAGGTCAACTTCCGTGAAACTTTCTTGGAGAACTACCATCTGTAGTAAAAGTAAAAAAGGAAGGTACTTATTCGGCTAGATTTTGCTCGGATAATCGTAGGCTACGTCTTGCATAGGACCTTGTTGTTTGCAAATTTGGCGGCAAACAATTTCAGGTGAATTCAATTCACCCATGCTCCAGAAAAGTTAGTGGAATAAAAATGAAATCAACTTGCAAAAGTAAAATTTCTAGTTTGGATGTTATACAAAAGTAATGTTTCTAAATTACTTATTTTAACCTTTAGAATGCAGTTTGTTTATATCGCTACTGGCTAATTCTTCCTGATATTTTTCACCGAATAGAGGTATATTCAGTAAAATCCAAATTGTCTAAATTTGAAGATTTAGAAATAAAAAGAAAGATTTCCAATACATGGGATTTAAATAAGAAATCATCGAGGTCGGCTGGCTGAAACAAAGAAGATGTCTGTTTCGATAGATATACTTGCGATAATTCCCTCTTCGTTGAGCAGAAAGTGTTTTCTATATTAAAGTTTTAAGTTCGTGGTAAACAGTCGATTTTATTTCTTTTTGTTTTTAAGCACACGCACACAACGGAACCAAGTAACGAAGTTGCATAAAAAATAACAAAGAAGTTTTGTTTGATTTTGTTTTATTTAAACATATCAATTCAGTTAAGCTTTAACCGCGTACTTCCTTGTTGGGTAAATAGATCTCTTGCGGATTTCCTTCAAAGTCTTTCTATTTGCATCTCTTGGAGTTAAAGCTTTGCGAACGGCACGTGTCTTCTTTTTTCTCAAATCCAAAGGCTTGTATTTCTTGTTTTTGAACACTTTACGCAAATTTTCCTTCTGCTTTTGGTGCATAACAATATATACCCTTGCTATAGCTTTGCGCACTACCCGGCTGAAAGAAAATGAAAGTGATTAATAGACTCACAATAATAAATAATACATCTGATTTTATCGTTATCTTGAATCAGTGAAGCACATTCGACCAAAGTACTTTCAAGTTATGATATCGATACTTCCCCAACTCTTTGAGACTTGCAGCATAATCATATGTAGATTTTTGCTTAACAAATTAATAGATTTCTTGATTTTAACTAAATATTAGTCAATTTTCAACTATCCTACAAGTATTGACAACCGTTTAGAAAAAACTTTTCATAATAAAATGAAAAACATACATTATACCATTGGTAAACAATATTTAAAATTTTTTTTAAAATGAAAGGGAAATAACATCAATTCCCATTTAACTCAAGCTTTGTGTTCTTCCATTATAAAATCGTTTGATTTGAAACCTTTTGGCTATATACCGATTTTAGTTCATCCATTGAGTGCATGTCGCTAACATTTAGAGGAATGTGACACATATTTGAGTGAATAGGGTGTTTTAGCACTGATTATTACAGAATCATTCTGTTACTCGTAGTGGGAAGATCAGATCTTTAAGCATTCATAAACTAAACGATTTCTGCTTGAATAAGTGAATTGCTTTGATTTTATACTCACATTTTAGACAGCTTTGAAGGAGCGCCTCCAGTTACCTTCGCCACGCGCAGGTTAAGAAGTTCATTTTTGAGCTCCTCGAGCTGTTTAGTTAGCTCTTTCTTATCCTTCGTACGCAACTCTGAGCACTTAACTTTGACCTGAAATCAAACGAATCAACACTAGCATTAAAAAAACAAAGCCAAAACACTATATTTCAAATCGTCATAATTCTAAAAACACGTTTAATAGAAGGGAAATTTAAGGGATGGTTACGAAAATTAATGAAATAATTTATCAATTGAAACACTACCATTTCGTCTGCTGTTCACGTCAAAAAGAAAAACCGCAACCAATATGCACCAAAACAAACCGAAATTGAGTCTAAAAATTATCAGCTTTTTGTGGTGTAAACTTTTGACGTTCATTCAATAAGAATAGTCTTGCCAACCACTTTCGTTTCAAACCATAAAAGAAGAAAAGAAGAAATTAGTTTTTTTTTGTTATATATGTTTCAATAAAGCAATAACTGGCATAGATTATATTTTTTCCTTGATTCTTTTGGTTTACCTACATTAAATGATAATATTGTATATGTATGCAGTAAGCATCCAGTAATATCGCAAAGTTTATCACGCTGCACAGTATTTTTAAATGAGACTCTAAGAGGTGATTAAAATCTAATAGTTCTCACGACGGTCGGGTCTTTGTACCGGAATGACCCGGTTTTTTTCTCCGGCCAAGGACTGTCAGTCCCGCAACATTCCCCAAAAACTACTTTGAGAAATATTTTTGCGGTTACAACAACAACAAAATATTGAGCGTCAGTGCTATTTTTGAATACATCGTGTTTGGTATTAATTACCGTTTCTGGAGAAGATTCAATTGCGTTGCGTATGTAGCGTACTCCACTACGCTGGAGCCATAGTCTAAATTCATCGAGAGATCTGCCGGTCATTACCAGCCAGACCATGGTTTAAATCCAATTGCAGAAGAGCTGGTGAGTCCCGCCGCAATTCCATCTGCCGAGAGAGCTACTGTCGAGCCCTCCCGGCATGCAGGTGGAGGGTCATGTAGCACCACAACAGGTATGTCGGCCAATCAAGTCATAGATCTCCAAGCCATGGGACATCTTTGGGCCTTACTTGAAGCGCAATTGCGGGACACGCAAATACAGTTCCAAAACGACGCCCTCACAGCAGCGCTTTACAGTAACGGTATTTCTGCTGCGACATATGTTAGCAGCATAGCTGCGCAGTCGAACCTAACACTGTTGCAGTCGACGCAAGCGCCTCCTTTCTTAGCGAACAAAGCAGCGTGTGTTCAAAGGCAAGTTCATTATTTGCCGAAGTCCGTAATAGTTCAGCTACACATGTTATCAACTGCAGCACTACGTGCAAATTCTGCGTACAGCGCGGATCAGGCAACTACATACATTCATCGTTTGGTTCACATTCGCTGAACTTTTCAGTTAAACCAACTACTGCCAGCACCAGTAATAACCACAGCGTGATTTACTCGCCACAGCCCTCGTTTATGCCACGGAAATTGTTAGACCTTCCTAAGTTCAGTGATTGGCCCGTGTTTTACATAGCCTTCAACGAGTATACAGCAGCTATGGTTATAGCTATTTCTACAATAACCAACGACTACAAAAGTGTCAAAAGGGTGATGCAATTGAAACAGTGAAGTCATTGTTGATAAAATCAAACAATGTGAGCTACTTTGTTGAACAACTGTAATCCTGGTATAGGCGTCCAGAAGAGCTTATTGGCAGCCATTTGTTACAAGTTAAGGAAATTTCGCCAATTTCCAACAGTGGAGCAACCAAGCTAATACTATTTCCAATAAAGGTAAAGAATATTGGTGAATTTTTGCAGTCTGCTAACACTGAACACTATTTTCTGAACCCATCGCTACTCGATGAAGTTATATCAAAGCTGCCAATGAGTAAGCGCACCGAGTGGGGAAGTTACGCCGCCACCATCCAGCCGCACTTAGTGAGTGGCTTACTTTACTGGCCACTATAATATGTACGATTCATGATTATTAGGTTCCTGACCTTGAACCGATCAGCCATCAGTAACGCTATCAGACAAAAACAATAGTCGAGTTACTTCAATACGCCTACAAGGTGAACTATCCAAGAAAGGTATCGAATGGATTCAATTCACCATTGAATCCTGCAAACGGAAAAGCATGGAGCGCATGGCTCAGTGCGTCAAGCGATTGCTTCTTGAAACGCTCAAAGAAGTCGCACCAAAGGTGCACACGGTGAACTGTCTCCTAATCGAGGCAGAGAAAGTGGTAAACTCACGCCCGCTAACACCACAAGTGTCATACGCATGCAGTGGCGAATCGCTCGCCTGCTCAGAGATCATTTCTGAAAACGCTGTAAAATGGTTCCAAAAGATGAAACCATTGCGAAATGGTGATTTAGTAATAGTCTGCGACCCTAAAAACCCACGAAGAGCGAATCAAAGAGCAGCAACTACGCTGTCTAAGTCATGTGGTCCGGAAGGAGACGAATTCTCCAGCATTGACAGTTTTCGATGCAGTATCCGCCGATGAAAGTAGAGGGAGAAGAAGACCTCCACTCCGTTGGAAAGACCAGGTAGAGAAGGATCTTGCTGTACTTGGTATTTCCAATTGGAGCCAAACATCAAAAAGAAGAAACGAATGGCGCAACGTTGTTAAATCGGCCATAATTGTGTAAGCGGTGTCTGCGCCAGTAAAGTAAGTAAGTAAGTTAAGTCCAACTCAGAATCACTTACGCCAACAAGTGTTACTTTGGACTGAGTAGGCAATTGAAAAGTTTTACTATATGGCGCAGAAGCGAGGGCAATGTCAATAATTGCTGAGTCGGGCTTGGGAGTCTTCGAGAGAAAAGTGTTGCGAACGATTTATGGTCCTTTGGGCATTGGCAATTGCGAATACCGCAGACGATGGAGCGGCTACGCTGGCTAGGTCATGTCTTCCGAATGGACCAAAACACTCCAGCTTTGAAAAGAGATGATGGCAGAGGAAGACGAAGTCCTCCACTCCGTTGGAAGGATCAGGTGGATAGTATCCTGGTTTCACTTCGAATTTCCATCTGGCGCTAAATAACGAGAAGAAGCGATTAATGGCGCGCTATAATTGATTTGGCTATAATCGGGAAGAAGAAGTGGCACTTCGAGATTTTGATCCTTCATAATGCATGTCTTTTTTTACCGATTACCTTCTTTTCGACTGGCTTGCTTTAGTTTAAAGACTGAGTGGAGGATGGGTTCGAAGTGGCCAGATTTTCTTCAAGTGAATCATCTTTTAAAACTAATGTCCTTACCGGTTTCGGACTGCCGCCATTTCACGTGTTCGATCATTTGTTGATTTTTGATTCCGACATGTCTCCCTCTTTGTGCACATGTCCTTTTTTCCGCTGATAAACCTCTTAATACCATAATTTCGCAACGGAATTCCTGGGGTTTTCGGATGCGATTTTCCTGCTCCATCTGCTACATTCGACTAGTATGGCATTTTTCTACGGCTCGAATTAGCCATAATAATCAACTCCCTTTCGTCTGCAAAATGTCTGCTGCAGCTTCCTTCTATACAACGAATAGTGCAGCGGAATTTCCCTCTATACTCAAGTTATTTTTTATAGTTATATTTTTGAACTGGAGCTTAAGTTTCGTTTGCTGCTGTACGTAAGGAGTTTGAAATGCCGTCCCTCAGCTCCCTTATACCGAATTGCTGATGAGTGCTCTGAGAGAGCAGGAGTGCAAGTAGAGTAAAAACCGGTTTATGTATGCAAACTTAGCAGTAAATGACTCACACAAATATTTCGCTTCTGTATTGGAAAATAAGATGACGATCGCAACCAGTTTGCAATTATATCCAGAGGAATCCCATGTGCTTAAGGCTTGCCCAAAATTTCTAGCCATGAAAGTAGATAATCGTTCGATATAGTGTAAAAATACAATTTAGTATTAGTTGTATTTGTTCCCATCAAAGACATCATACATTGCTGCACAGAAGCCCGTCCGGAAACCGGCCTTCAACCTCAAAACTCAAGCCGCAACCACCTCCAGCGGTGCAAACGCACTTTTCGTATTAAGCACGAAAAGTGTATTCTTGGGTACTGCGATGGTGCACATATACATTTTAAGAGTAAATTACAAGACGAGAGCCTTTATGGAATCGGGTTCAGAGGGCACATTCATAACGAAGCGGTTCCAGAAACCTAATAATATGCGAACTCTACCTGCTGAGAAACCGTCAAATTTGTTTAAGGTTCACCTGTCGACCCCTTGATTAGAAGTAAGGCAAAAGACCTAATTCTCCCCAATTTGACAGGTAACCTCCCCAAGTTTCCAATAGACAAAGTGGATTTTGGACTACGGCCCTCAGTTGACTTAGCCGAGGTCAACTTTTCTAGAAGTCATAACGGAAAATATTTTAAAAAATGTCTTGGGCTCTCTTCTAGCGAAAAGTCCCTCAAGCCTCAAGTAAAAATCAAATTTTATATGTTTCCATGTTCTCCGAAATTTCAATCTTAGGGAGCTTGAGTAAATCCCAAGCGAGAAGCCGTTCACTACTTAGGAAGACGATACGTGGTGGCCATCCGCTTTAGACGGGAGTTCTCAGAGGAAATTAACATAGGATACTCACGAACCAGTGCAATGCATTAATTTCTTCGAAATGAAAAAGCCATGCTTCGAAAGCCGGAGCTTAGGACTAAATATCACCAAGTACTAGAAAATATAAATACTTGGGCACATGAAGATGTTGATGCCAGCTACTCCGGGAGAAGTTGCTCAGGGTCATCATATTACCTGCCCCATCATGCAGTCATCAAACCAGAAAGAAAAACTAAAAAGGTATTTCATTCATCAAATCCATCCTCGTGCAGTATTAACACTTCACCTCGGCCCGGTTTTGCAATCTGATATGATCGCACTCATATTAAAACGGCGATTTTTTAAATATATTTTCAATGATATTGAGAAAATGTATCGGCGGATCCTGATTCATCCAACGAGACCCGGTTCCATAGGCTGTTGTTTAGAGAGTCGAATGAGCAAACTATGAACTGCAAACGGTGACATTCGGAGTCAACTGCGCTCCTTACTTAGCAGCAAACACACTGCTTCGACTAGTGGAAGACGTCACATTTCAATACTATCATCAAAGGTCCTGAAGCAGCACATGTACGTGGATGACGCCCCTTACGGAAATGGTCATCAAATTTTAAGGAAATCCTGGTTGATTTGCCAAAGGATTATCCGTTAAAAAAATTTCTTGGAAATCGAGGATGTGAGTGTAGCCCGGATCATAGGCAGAGAAGACATTTTAGAACTATTCTCTGATTCCTCTCGCCGGCTGAGAGCAGCTTACAAATTTTGCAATTTTATCGAAAAATACATCCGGTATTCAAACTGTT